TCTTATTCTGAACTGCGTAGAGTCTAGGCTAGATCTCAACCGCTGGTTCAACCGCTCCCGCTGAGTTTTTTTCTCCAAAGTATATATCATTCGTTCTACACACTGTTTCAAGATATAAAGATATATGTTTGTATTATAGTTTTACAGGGTGTTTCTTTTTTCATGATTATAAGATTAAAAATCTGCAAATTAGACGGTGAAATTTCCCAAATAGTTTAAAGCAAAAAAATAGTTTAAGATTTAAAACTGTTCTAAAGTTTCTAATTCTTGATATTTGATTAAAGATATCTACAGTCTAAAAAACTTATATTTTCATGGTCAGAACTTTTCCAAACTTTTTCCATTGTACAATTGTACATACACTATACATTTTTACAGTACAATAATTCAATCAGTGTTTACTGTGTGTCCATCATGTTTTATATATTTGTACATTGTACATTAGAATGTATCTCTATTGTCTTATTTCTTGGCATTGTAAAAAAGTATCTTTGTTGTTTACTTTCTGTATATTGTACAAAGTATCTTTGTTGTTTTATTTCTGAACATTGTGCAGAGTATCTTTGTTGTTTTATTTATTTATAATGTACAAAGTATCTTATTTGTTTACTTTCTGTATATTGTACAAAGTAACTTTGTTGGTAATGTTATGAACATTGTACAAAGTATCTTTGTTGTTTTATTTCCGTGCATTGTACACAGTATTATTGTTGTTTTATTTCTGTACATTTTACGAAGTATCCTTTTTTACGTACATAGTACAAAGTATTATTGTTGTTTTATTTTATGTACATTGTACAAAGTATCTTTGTTGTTTATTTTATGTACAATGTACAAATTATCTTTGTTGTTATTTTAAACATCCTAATTTAAGAGAATACAAATTTTCAGAACAAAATTTTAACTTTTCAAGAATTTCTTTAATTGCAAATACGGCTACAACCCCCCCCCATGTTTGCTTATTTCCTTTCTTTTTACTTTTTTCATTATCTTCGATTTACCCCCAACTTTCACAATTTTCAACTTTCCTTGGTTTTTATAATAATTCCATCTCATTTTTTGGTTTTTATAATAATTCCATCTCATTTTTTGGTTTTTTCTTTCTTTCACGTTTAATTTGTTTCCTATTTGTTTTTGCCCATGGTCATACTTTTTCTTTTTACAAACTGCTTTGTTTCAGCTCACACCTTTTCATCTTTTTGACTTTGCATCCTCCTTAGTTCCTTCTTTTTCTTCTTCTTAATTAATGTTTTGATTAGTTGCTCGACTCATATTTCAAATTCTACAGTAGGTACTACTACTAGGTAGGGATGGGCGCTCGATTATCCATAACGATTCGGAAAAATTAACTTAGTATTAAACCTTTCCATAAAGGAACGAAAAGTTTTAGGTTGACAAAAACAGCTCTTTTCCTATTAATGATCATAACAAGTAGTAAGAAGCTCAAAAAAAAAAAAAATTGTTACAAACTAAAAATCTCCTTTAATTCGTCTCAACTTATCACAATTACACATATTGTCAACATTCAATTACCGTTAAAATTTTATTTAAATAAACATTATTTAAACATTTTTGTAAAAGAACAATAGAGAAATAAGCAATTTTAAGTTGGAGTTAAAGAACGATACGAACGTTTTTTAAAAACATTTTCCTCTTTCAAAGCGTAAGTCCTCCTTTATTAGAGTACATGACTGATAATCAAAGAGAATAGAATATATATTAGAGTAGAATTTAGACAATCCCTCGGTATGAATTTTCCCTTTCAGACTGAAAGGGAGTTCACAAATTATATTCACTAGAGTACATTAATACAGTATGTTCCCTAGACTATCCATTTTAATTTCGAATTTTTTAAAGCTGTTAAATAAACTTTATAAAATGGATTAGGTGAATAAAAACATCATTTGATTTTTAGTTTAACGGAAATCTTCATTTTTAAAGGGAAAGGCATAGAGTCTATGTGAAATGATCATTGGTCAATCATGAAACCAGCCTATTTCATGATTTGGTTTTCTTTTGATATTAATTTTAGATTATCTATAAAATGATGTTCCAGGGCCCAAAAGGTTATATAGCACAAATATGTTAAGTACACCTGCAGTATGGAAACAGTACAACAAAATGGCCGATTTAAACTTTTTTCTAGTAAATTCCACTCTATTATATATTCTATTCTCTTTGGTGATAATATTTAATAGAAAAGCTCAATAGATAAAGAATTTTTAATTTCAGACAAGGGCCTGGTAAAATGTGAGGCAAGTAGGCGAAGAAAATGTTCACAATTCTATGGTAAAGAATTCGCGCAATGCCGCTGAAATTTTAATTCAAAATGGCGGAGTAACACGTGACAATGTCGGTTGGTGTGCGCCTAGAGAAGTTTACCGGAGCTGGGACTTCAGGGGAGAGGATTTTTAAACTCACATTCAGAGGTAAACAATATTAACAGAATACAATTTAAATAAGTTTTATTCTGTATTTTTCTACTTTTTTGCTGTAATGGCCAAAACACGATATATTTAGCATTGTTGATTCCTTTTCCAGAGCAAACTTGCAATATTATGTTGGACTATAAACTGAATGCCATTTTCATGAGATTAAGAACTTAATGTTCAGTGCATTAAATGTCAGTTTTTAACATTTTTAATCCTGTATACTTAAACTATCTCATAAAAGTAATCAGAATCGTGATTAATGTCTGCATTAAAAAATAGAAAAAATTGAATGCTTTTTGTTGAGAGAAAATAAAGTTTTTTTTGTAGTTTAGACGATTATAGTCCTTTTAAGTTTAGGGGAAAAAGTCCTTAGTTTAGGGAAAATAGAGTCCTTTTTAGTTTAGAAGAAATGGAGTGCTTTTAAGTTTAGGGGCAAAAAGTCCTGAATAGTTTAGGGAAAAATCCTTTGTAGTTTATGTATGCGGAAAAATAAAGTTCTGTTAAGTTTAGGAAAAATGGAATTCATTTTAGTTTAGAAGAAAAAGAGTTCTCTAAAGTTTAGAGGAAAAACGTCCTTTTATGTATAGGTAAAATGGAGTTTTTAGTAGTTTAGAGAAAGTGGTGTTTTTAGTAGTTTAGAGAAAATGGAGTTTTTAGTAGTTCAGAGAAAATGGAGTTTTAAGTAATTGAAAGAAACTATTTTTTAAAGGTCTCTTTGAATTAAAGAGTTACTTTAACTGACACAAAGCATTTATTAAATTCTGCTGTACAGTGCGACCCAAAAATATTTCCAAAACATACTTTTTGCTCCTGTTAAATAAAGGGGCTTTTTGGGTGTCATAAAATTTTGTGTTAAATTTACAGAACGAAAAAAATATTTTTGTAATTACAGTGATAACCAAACAACTGTAGAATAGGAAGACGACAATAAAGAAATACTTTTTGATGTTGTTTCAAAGCAAATACTTTACTAGTAAGTTATTGAATCACTTGCTTAGTGATATGGTTCTGTTTACGCTGCACAATTAATGTGCCTAATTTTCATTTTTCTGTCACGCAGTAATCGTTGCAATATTGGTATATTCTTTACATATATATATTCTTTTGAGCATGGTATAAAAAGCTTAGTTCTATATAGATGAAATGAATCGATTAAAGGAGAGCTGATTTTTTTTTAAATCTTTTTTTTTTGCATTCATAGTTCTCTTTATGTATCTAGGTAATCTTGTTATCTTGTTACTTCCTTATAGAAAATTATTCCAAATTATTCAATCTTGATTTTCATTGTTGTCATGGTGAAAGCCTTCTCCTTTCAATGTAAATAAATAATGTTCTAGAGAAACAAGTTATTATGTATCATTATATCAATAATCACCAGGTTGCATATCACATTTCCATTTACCATTATTAGACCAATAACAATAATTGCATTATATATATATACACACTAGTTTAAAAACCCAGCTTTGTCTGGAAATTAAATTTTCCCATAAAAGTACACCTGCTTAACTTAGAATGTTCAAGTCAAATTATGAACATTCCTGTGGTTCTACCGAGTTCCCCGATAAGAATTTGAGGCAAATCAGTCAAGGGATGTATGAGATGAATGGACATCCAAGAAACAATCTTAAGATCTAATTAAGATTAGAATATTAAATGATAAAGAAAAGAAAGAAACTGATCGATGGTGAGAAACCAGAATAAACAAGACAAGAGAAATACTGCATGGAGTCGGCTTTAAATTATCATTTGCTTTTTAAACAATTTTAAGAATTATTTTGGACGTACTGATAGTGATACAGATATAACAGGCTTGAATATGCAACATTTTTTGCAGTGTGGTTCATTGTGTACACTTTTCAATGTAATTTAATCAACGAGGTTATAGTGTATAGAGTGATGATGTACGCTAATCCTTTAATAACTGTATAGGCCATAAACTATACCGAGAGCGTATTGCATATTTGTTTATTATAAGTTGATGCTGGCCTAACCCATAGTAAATCAATATTAGTAAACAGTTGTAAGTTTACAGTACAGCTAACTGAGCACACAGGTAGAGAAATATCATACTAGGCAACACCCTAAAGTAAACCATGTGTCTTAACATAAATAGAAATATTTCTTGAATAAATAATAAATATGGAAAGGAAACCTTCTCTGAGAAAATGGACAAAATCATTTAATCTTTATGCGTTTATCTTAAAGGGACTGAAAGCGTACTTTTATCTAACCCTCCATGCAAAGATGGCAATTCTCTATTTACAAAAAGAAGATCCAAAAAAATAGTTTTTCTGACTTTAGTTTCATTCTAATAATTTCTCCATTGTTTTTTAAAAGAAAGAAATACGCCACTGTAGCAGAGAAACTACAAATAGAAATTTTAAAACAATTCCAACGTGAATATCTAATTCAACTAATTCTAGGCCAGGGTACCATTGTAAATCGGTTGTTGCCATTTCTGTATTGAGTGTAACTTGAAATTACGCTTACAGTCCCTTTATATGAAAAGTAAACAGACCTAAATTATACTCCTTAATACTTTCCCTCAAAGCGCGTTTATTACCAGAATCTCTCAGGAGCCGGGAGGGGTATACCGTCCCGTTTTGCCTTATATAGTCTGTATGAGTACTCTACAGCTTGCTCCAAGGTTATAATGTAAGGAAAGTTATTTCAGAGGTGTCCGCATCTTTTGTAATGCAGTGTACTGTCTCTGGGCGGTAATGTAAAAACAAGACGGATGTCCCAGCCTGACATGGGATCCATCTTTCACATAAAAAATCAATGAAATATTCTGGTCATAGGAAACTATTATGTAAATTATCAAAATTATCAAAATTTAATGCTTTTAACCTCCTCAGATACTAAACAAACACTGATGCATCCATTCTTGTTCACAAATTCCGGCCATAGAGAACTGGTTTCAATATATACGCAGAGTATACGCCACTGCAATTAACTTTCCTTGCATTATAACCTTGGCTTGTTTTAAAAGTCGGTTTGGTAAATACTTGAAATGAATCGGATTTTACAGTGATACATAAATATATTCTTGAATAAACGAGAACTATAAAAACCTTGAAAAATGCCAAACAGTAAAAATGAAAGGGATTTTCACCATATCATCATCATCACATAATGAGCCAATTTCACCACTAATAATGAAACGGTTTAATTGTGAATTTCTCGCATTTCTCCGATTGAACCAACAAATGTACCAAACTTTATTCTCGTAGTTTTCCAAAAAATATCAGCAAGTAAAGTGATCTAAAAATGTACTTAGTATTTAATTGGTATCAATAACAGGAAAGATATTTTATAACAAAGAAATATATAGACTCAAAGTGTCAAAAGGTTGCTATAGTAACATAGTTCACATTTTATTTCTTCAAAAAGTGCAGATTAGTCAAAAAGATATATTTATTTTAACCTCAATTAGTTTTCTGGTTTCACGAGTCCTATTCTGCTCTTTTTTTATTTATTTATTTTATAGTATAAATTTACATTTTGAAGGTAATGCACCCATTTTCCTTGCCAAGTCGCATAAAAGAAAATTGAAATATCTTAAAACTGCATTGTATATACTTCGTGTAAGTGAAGAACAACATTTCTGTCTGTTTGTCTGTAGATCTGTTTGTCTGTAGATCTGTTTGTTCGTAGATCTGTTTTGGTGTAGATCTGTTTGTTCGTTGATCTGTTTGTCTGCAGATCTGTTTGTTCGTAGATCTGTTTTTCTGTAGATCTGTTTTTATGTAGATCTGTTTTTATGTAGATCTGTTTGTCTGTAGATCTGTTTGTCTGTAGATATGTTTTTCTGTAGATCTGTTTATCTGTAGATCTGTTTGTCTCTGGATCTGTTTGTCTGGAGATCTGTTTGGGTGTAGATCTGTTTGTCTGTAGATCTGTTTGTCTGTAGATCTGTTTGTCTGTAGATCTGTTTGTCTGTAGATCTGTTTGTTCGTAGATCTGTTTGTCTGTAGATCTGTTTGTCTGTAGATGTGGATAACAGAATTAAAGGGCAATGTATGGTAGTTGAACTGATAATGCAGTATTGTGGAGAAATTTTTTAGGATTCATTTGAGACATGTACAATGTTACAATGATGTATAATTACTGAGTTTGAGCGCAAAGTCGACGTTCAAAATCATCAATTTGGGTGGATACGTTTTCAGAATCGATTATTTTAAATTAATAAATAACGACGACAAAAAATGTAAAAAAAAATCTACAGTAATCTAATTAGATGTTTAGGAACATCTTTCTTAATTGAAATTTTCTCAATAAATGAATGTTAGAATCAATTATTTATTTCTCATTATATTGAAATTCTTATTCTTTATTAATTTGTTCCGGATTTCTTAAAATTCTTCAAATGTCGTCTTTTCAATAAAAATTCTAGGAAATCTACAGAAAATGTTTGTGAGACATCACAGAAACCAATAACTGAATAAGATTACTTATTTTCTATGATACAAACTAATTTTTTTTTTCAACCGGTTCCTGAAAGACTAATCAGGTTACTGTCGAATTTTAACTACATTTTTCGTCGTCGTTTTAAAGTAATTTTTCTAAACCGATTCTTAAAATCATCCCTGAAAAATGAACAATCTATGATGAGGATTTTAAAGATTGAATTTGCGATCTTGCTGAACAAGTATGCACTGTAGAAAAGCTTCATAGGTCTCAAATGATTCCTAAAATATGTCTCCACAATACTACATTCAAACCACCAGACATCGCCGGTCACTCCCTTTAAATAAGAAGTTTGAGAATCGTATAAATATAGTTGATGAAGCAAGTTCCATTAATTCTGTTGCACCGGAGATCTAAGAAGAAATATTTATTGTAGTGTTCAGATAGAAGAGACACACTTTTTTATTTTATTTTTACATTCTCTACTGTACTCACAAATATGGACATTTCTAACAATCTTTAAAAACAAAATATTTTTATTTTAAATAAAACAGTTTTCAGAAGAAAGTGTCAAAGGAAGTGTT